ATCTCAAGAAAGTCTCCAGCTTATGGGAAGACACAAGAGTGAAAGTCTCGACGCCGGCCAAACTGGATCTGGACAGACCAATCACACTTGCAGAGACCTCTCAAACGTTGAAGTCCACGGCCCGGGGCAAATCCCCCGGATTAGATGGTCTGATGGTAGAGTTCTACGCCAAATGCTGGAACACGGTGGGTCCGCTGCTAGTGGAAGTGTACAACAACGTGCTGACTGGGGGCAAATTGGGGAAGAAGATGACACATGGTGTAATATCGGTCCTATTCAAGAAAGGTGACAAGGCGGAAGTGAGGAACTGACGACCAATCTCCCTGCTGAACGTCTCGTACAAGATACTAGCAAAGACGCTTGCGAGGAGGCTGGGACAACATCTACCTGCACTGGTGGAGAAGGATCAAGGTGCCTTTGTTCAAGGACGCTCAATCTTCAACAACAAAGTGTCCGCCATCGAGACATTGGAGGTAGTACAAGCTGAGAACCTAGACACAACGATCCTACTGATCGACCTGGGGAAAGCCTACGATAAAGTGGGCTGGACTTTCATTATGACTACACTACGACACATGGGATGTGGGGCTGGGTTCCGCAAGTGGGTGGTGGCGCTGTACACATTGTCCACATCAGTGGTCATGGTGAATGGCTTCCTCTCTGCTCCCTTCAGATTGACAAGATCGTTGCTTCAAGGTTGCCCACTTGCCCCGCTGCTGTTCGTCCTGCAGATGGAGGTGCTGTTGAACCGTATCAGAAGACACCCGTTGATCCACGACCTCCGATTACATGGGGAGAACGAGTGTAGGGTGAAAGCGCTCGCGGACGACCTATTCACCGTCTGCGAGAATACGGTACCAGCCTTAACTGCCTTGAAGGAGACCATGCTGGAATACTTGGGCTCTCAGAGGCATCGGTGACAAATCAGCATATCTGCTGCCCCCCCAATTCCAAATGAAGGTTGAATGGGGTATGAAGAGAGTAGAGGAGGGAGAGGAGGAAAGGTTCTTAGGAGTCTTGATCAGCCTGCAGGTGGAAGCATCCACGCAAGGCCTGCTGCTTAGGGAAGGATTGCAGCCAGGCTGAACATGTGGGGTTCAGCCGGGTACCTGTCACCAATAGGCCGAGCCTTGGTGGCCTATGTGGCGCTGTTCTCCATCCTATGGCTCGTGTGCACGGTCAGGGAAGTTGCAGACGGGGTGCTGGCGGCAGTACGCAAGCTGGTGGCCCGATTCCTCTGGAAACCAAGGTCCAAGAGTGAAGAGGGATTCATAACAAAGGTGGCATGGGAACTAATCACCTTCTCCCACGCAGAAGGAGGCCTGGGTATGTGGGACCCTGCAAGGAAGAACAAAGCACAACTGAGGAACCGGACATGCAAGGTGGCAATGGCAGACCTGAAGGAAGATTGGATTGTACTGGCAGAAAGACTGTTGATGAGGGAGTGGGGTCTTAGCAGACCCGAGGACGTATGGGCCTGCTTCTTTATGGAGTCATTCAGAAAGAAGCGCCCAAGATCTCTGTTCTGGAAGGCTATCCTGAGGGCCTGGAAAGACCTGCCGCCAGAAACGTCAACCCCCCCCCGCACGAAGGAGGAAGTCTTGGCCCAGCACTTATTCGAAAATCCTTGTATCCCTGCACAGGACAGCCCGACCTTCCCTGCAGACGGTTCCACGGCGTCATTCGGCCTGGCCTGGATTTAAAAGGGGCACCCGGATGCGGGACCTCTGGTCCACTCTGCTAGGCGCCTGGGAACCCCTGTCAGTCGTTAAGTCCCACCTAACAGGACTGAGAAGAACAGAAGAGAACTGGCAGGCCATTCGGGGGGCCATCCCCCAGGACTGGCACAGGATCCTAAGCCCTGAAATGGTGGACCCAGTGGACACCTGGTATGTAGCAGACACCGAGGGGGAGGAGAAGGCAGTATGGAAAGTAAAGGAAATAACGCCAAGTGGTTTCAGACGGGTGGAGGAGTGGAAATGTGAGAGGCACACAAATGAGCTAACCAAGCAGAGTGAAAAGATGATACAGCAATGGACAAGCCCACCGCAGGCCAGAGTTGTAGAATCTCTGCAACTTGGTAATCAGCCTGTGACCACGTGGATTGGCCGCACTACACTGCAACAGCCCCGAATAGATCCACTCGCATGGAGTTGGAACAGTCCAGTGTCAATCGGAGCTGGGAATACACCAGTGGACCTCTCAAGATACAACTCGAAGATAGTCTACGAGCTGGCCAACAGATCATCCAGGAAACCGTCCGGAGTGGCAGTAACCAGATGGAAAGCCGTGTTTGGCAAACAGCACACCAGTCACAGAGCATCAGTTCGAGTCGCTGTGGAAGACACTATGCAAATCACCTAATGGGAAGCAGGTAAGTATATTGTGGCTACCCCTGTTTAAAAAAATAAAATAAAAAATATTGTGGCTACTCTCCATGATGGTAAACGCCTCTGCTGTCTGGCTGCTGGCAAGAGGGGTGGTGGTGGAACTGGGTTGCTCCAGATGCCGCTGGGTTTTTGAGTCCACGAGGCATCTGTCTGTGGTGGGAATGCCCAGCCTCAAAACGAGTTTGGCTTTGGTGGGACCACCACTGGAAGAAGCTGAGAGCAGGGAAGATGGACGGGGACGAGCAGTGTGTGCTGTTGGGGTTTCTACCAACTGGTATGCAAGGAAGGAAAGGGTGGGGCTACATAGCACATGTACTCCGAGGCGTAATCTGCGAAGTGATTTGCGCTGACAGAAACAGGGCGAGGTTTGACAAACGCCCTATGTGCGACACAGAAATCGAGGCAAGGGTAAATGCCGGAATCAAGCAAGCAATCAAGTTCGATTGGAGGAGAAAGACGAGAGCATGGAGGGGTAGCAGGAAACAGACGTCCTGGTTCTTGCATACCTGGGCCAGGGGTAATAGGCTGGCTGCAGTCCACTCAAACCGGGGCCCCGGTGATTTCCAATTGGGTACTAGACGGGCGCAAAACTCAGTAGAATAGGCTATCTAGGTGTAAGTTAAGTCACAAACCAGGACGCTCGGTTAAGCAGGGCCGTGGTAGGCCTTTAGGGAAGTGTCAGTAGGACTGGGACGTTGTCCTCCGCGCCGTGTCAGTCTCATATTTAGAAAGAGACTTAGAAAAACAGTTAACCTCACAGATACAGTCGGTGGTCAGGGTCTACCCAGTTACGCAAAATCCTGTTTTGCTCAAGGTAAGGGCAAACTACCTCAGTTAGTTATTTCGCGGTCAGGTCAGTCGTCTTATCATACCGGTTCAAGCTTAAGAGAGTATCAGGAATGCACCGGCGGACTAGGAGTTAGTGAAACTTAGCGAACTCGTTAGCGGAGAGTTCCGCAGGCAATGACCTGTAAGCTAAGCTGGCTGATGCTGTCAGTATTCCGGGGGCCAAGTCCCACTTACCCGAATCTTCAACTTCTGACCATAGATTACCAAGATCAACGGCCAGAAATGAAGAGTCAGTGTAAGTTGGACTTGGCCCCGGGTTGAATTGTGAGGTCCCCCGCCTCTTTCACAAGTTTATTAATGACTTGCATTGGTATAAAAAAAATAAAAAAAAATAAAAATCCGGAAGTAACGGGATGGTGGTTGATGGTCCTGGTGATCGATTTAAATTTCTAACATTCTTCTAGTAAATGCCAGTTTATCTTGTGTTATCGTCGTCCCCGGTGTAGAACGTACGGTCATTATATACCTGTTTTGGGGGACAATTTTCTGTCTACGTACAACGGTAACTAGTTACCATACGTTCTATTCGGGGGAAGAGAAGACTGTAGTCAAGTCAACTGATATATTATTAGACCAAGTGAAAAGTGTACATTGATGGCCCGCACAGTTTCTGAAGTGAAAAAAAAGAAACTTTGGCGGCCTTTTGGCTAAGTAAGACCAAGTGAAATGTATCTGCTCTGATCACTGTAATATCTTATGCGTGGTCCTTCCAACTACACTTAGAAAAAAAAAGTGGAGAAACCGTACCTGGTCAAAATGCGCATGTGGGTGCAGAATCTGTATTGCAACAACTGCATGTGGGTGTGCAGATGCACACGTGTGTGTTTTTTTTTTTTGTTTTTTGTTTTTTTTTCTGTGCGTGTGTGTGTGTGTGTGTGTGGCCTGATGGACCACGGATCAGATAACAAACAGATCCGAACAGATGCTACACTCACGCTTTTTTTTTTTCTTTTTCCCTGACTTATCCGGTTAGTTTGCCCCTTCGAACATGGAGGGGATAAGTCTTGACGTGGACGAAAAAGGGTGTTTGATTTGCGGTCCTTCGTGTCTCTCTTTTTTTCTTTTCTTTTCTTTTTTTTTGAAACCGGCTCACTCTTGCCCCATTCTATTCTGGGGGGTTCACTCCGTTTGCTTTCCGTGCCTGGATGCTGCCCACTCGTCATTGCTCTTCTCTCTCTCTCTCTCTCTCTCTCTCTCTCTCTCTCTCTCTCTCTCTCTCTCTCTCTCATACACACAAGTATGTATTGGCCCTCGCTCCACCACTCGATACAAAAGACAAAAATATATTGCGGTGCATCTTCCCGTGTTCTAATGGACGATTCATTCTCATTTAGCACAATGTCATTTGGTAAGTAGTGGAGCGAGGACCATTATCTGCATGTTTCTTGCTTCCTATGCTATTGCAAGTCTGAGACCCGGATACCCAGCAAATTGTCTGGGCCCGGACATCCCACGTCCACTTTGTCTGGGATTCCCGTAAAGAAAAAAGAAAAGGAAAAAAAATAACGAAGTCGTCACCGACCCTCACATCAGTCACTGTGGTCGTTTGCCATGAGCAAGGCACGCTCGGCCAAGCCTATCCCTGACCACAGTGTTCGACTCAAAGAAAGAAGGCAGTCAGAAAACAGAACAGATAAAACCAAGTGGTGGGACTGGTTATTGTTAAAATAATTTAAATAATTGAGAAAAATAAAAAAATCATCACCTCCAAACAACTCCGGGTTCCTAGAACCTGGAGGGGGCTCCCACTAGCCAGGTATGTGGATTAGTGTGACGGGTGGGGGACGGGTGGGGGACAGGTGGGTGGCAGCGTGAAATATGGAAAATAAGTGCAAAAAACCATTTCATGACCAAACAAATGAAGGAATATACTTCAAAAAAAAAGGAAGTGCTCTTCTCACAGATGGTGTCTGCTTCAGCCGGAGTGTCAGATGTCAGGGCATGATTCACTGACCATGGCTTGGCAGTCGAAACAACTGCATGTGAGATGGCACATGGACCATATTCATTGACAATACTCTGAGGCTTCCTTGAAATGGGCCACATTGCACGTTACTGGGCTGTTCTGACATAACTTCTCTTTGACAAAGGAGGGCAAGAGTAACTGCATACAGCACTTGCTGTAGGTGAGCGGATAGAACCCTCCAGAACACCTCCCAAACCACAATCACTTCTGCCTGGCTTCCAAGCATGACCAATGACACAAAGGTGAGTAGAAGGTGTGTGAAAGTCATCGCGAAAAAAAATGTTATGATTTCCACTCACGTTTGGGACCCCAAGAGGAACACTTGTTCAAAAAGAAAAGAAATACCACCCAATGGGAGGCCCCCAAAACACACATATGTCCTGGTGCGTATAACAAATAAAAACACACCGCAGATATCCAGTCCGATCCATGGTGCTTCGGAGTCACACAACCTCTCCACTACTCCACATACATCGGTAGTGGGATCTCCCTCCTGATGTAATCTTCTTTTCTTTCTTTTTTTTTTTTTCTTTTTTTTTTTTTTTCATCGAACGACCTTGATTATGAAGACAACAAAAAGGTACCACGAAAAGTCTACCCCCAT